GGGGAGACCGAGGATCTGCAGAGCCGGGCTTGGAGGAGGGGCAGGAGGAGGAGGGCATGTGGACGGTGTGCAGACCCCACAGCCAGGTCAGGACTCGACACACACCAGGCCCTGGGAACCCCTGCACGTCCTCTTTGGTCACCCCCGACCACTGCAGGGGTGGCCACTGTCAGACTTGTGCTCCCTGTTCTTGAAGTTTATAGAAACAGAATCTGAGTGTGTGCACTGCCATTCAGCATTCGTCTGCCACGCACCCATATTTCCGCGTGCAGCCGTAGTTCTCACTGCCGTCTGCTCTTCCGTCGTGCGACTGTTCCACGACTTACTTCCACTCTACCACAGATAGGCATTCAGGAAATTTCCAGGACGCTTTTTAGCCAGCACCTCCCCTCCGCAACTCTGACGCAGCGGGTTTGAGATCATCTAGTCTCAGATACTGATTTCAAAACTGGACTTTAACATTTAAAATGTTTTTTGTTTGATTAGATTTTTTTAAAGGTCACTAAAGTGATAAATGAACATTGTAGCTGGTCAAGTGACGCAGAAATGCAAAGAAAATAACTCTTCTCATTCCCTTCTCCCCCGCCTTTCCTCTGGTTTGTTTCTTTTCATACCTTCTGCTTTTCCAAGTCAGCAACCTGGCCTTGCCCCTTGCTGTGGTTTGAGTATTTGTCCCCTCTGACACTCTCGTTGAAACTTAATCCCCATTGTGGCAGTATTGAGAGTGGGAAGTTCCACTGTGGTATTTGGGAAGTGGGAACTTTGGGAGGTAATTAGGATTAGATAATGTCATGCGGGTGGGACACTGGTGGCTTTAAAAGAAGAGGACAAGAGACCTGAATCAGCATGCTTGGCCACCCTTGTCCTGTGATGCCCTGTGCCACCTTGGAACTCTGCAGAGAGTCCCCAACAGCAGGAAAGCCCTCACCAGAGGCCGTCGCTCAACCTTGGACTTCCCAGCCTCCAGAACTATAGGAAATAAAACTCTTTTCTTTATAAATTACCCAACCTTGTGTATTCAGTTTTAACAGCAGAAAACGCACTAGGACATCCTTTAAAGATTGTATGACTGTGGGCAAGTCACTGTGTCTCAGGAGTTTGTCTACTCCAAAAATTCTGTAGGTTCTAAGTTGAGACTGTTTCTAATGCATAATCTTGAGTCTGTAAGGACTTAATAAATGCTCTGAGATGATCACTCATATATTTGCTAGAAATGTCGGCTCTTTCAAGAGAAATTTCCTATAGCCATGGGCTGCCTCTCTGATAAGTTTCAGCAGGGCAACATAGCAAGACTCTGTCTCTACAAAAATTTGAAAAGTTAGACAGGTGTGGTGGTGCCACCTTTAGTCCCAGCTACTCGAGAGGCTAAGGCTGGAGGATCCCATGAGCCCAGGAGTTGGAGGCTGCAGTGAGCTATGATGGGGCCACTGCACTCTAGCTCAGGTGACAGAGTGACCCCATCTCTAAAAAAAAGACAAAAGCAAAAAAAAAAAAATTAAAAAAAGGAAAAGGAAAATTAAACAAGTTTGTCTTAGATACATTTTAATAGAAAAAGTAATTAATAAGTAAATCCCTGCTTGGCATTCAAAGCACAGGTGTTTTTTTTTTCCATCTAAGAATGCACTTGGACTTTATACAATAAAAATTCTCTTTAAACATCAGAATAAAAAGGCTGTGCGGCTACTGTACGCCCCCCTTTCCGTGAGATTCTGGAAAAGGCAGAGAGCAGAGCGGTGGTTGCCGGGCTGGGACTGGGCAGGGGTGTCAGGTACACAGGGGCAGGAGGCAATTTTGGGTGGATGACGGGCTGTTATTTGTCTTGATTGTGGTGGTAGTTACGGGACTCTATCCATTTGTCAAAACTCATAAAGTCTGCTTTGAGTTTTCCCGGGAAAAAAACCAAACAAAAACTCATAAAGCTATAGCCAAAAAAGGGAAATTTTACTGTATATAAATTGACAAATTTAAAAAAAGGAATTCACTGCCTTCTTAAAATGCTCTGCTGGAGTTTATGAAGAAAGGAATTAGGCCACAAGCAGTTAAAAGGGGGAAGTTCTTGGGTCCTTGGGGTGGTGGGAACCCAGCTCCTTGGGCGCTTGCCCGCCGGCCCTGTCTCCGGGCCTCGCTGTCCTCCCTGCCAGCATTCAGTGGTGGCAGTGTGACCGAGGGACAAGGGAGGTCTTGTAAAGCCCATAAATAAATAAATAACTGCCTGTCCCAGGTCGCCATGGCAACCGTGACATCACCCTTGGACCCCGCATGGCTGGTACTCTTGGTGGCCTGCTGGCATTTGTTAAAGGGGCAGGGAAGATGGGGCCGCCAGGCCGCACCTGCCGCCAGGCAGAGGAGGGGAACTCCGCAGGTGGAGACTTGGTTTCCCACCGTGGATGTTCCCCACCTGGGAGAAAGGTGCTAGCCGAGTCCCTTCGCAGGTGGCACCGGCAGGCACCCCAGCCTGGGTGGGGGGAGTGTAAATTTTCACGGCTCCCTTGGGGGCTTCTGGGCAGAGTCCATCGAGATTAACGCTGTGTGCACCTGGGTCAGTGTCCTAGGGCTGCAGTCACAGACTGCCACACACTCGGCACTTATTCTCTCCCAGTTCTGCAGCCAGAAGTCCGACATCAAGGTGGGGCAGGGATGTTCTTTGGAGGCTCCGAGCGCGGGAGATCTCTTGTGTGCCTCTCTTCTGGCGTCTGTGGCTGCCAGGCATCCCCATGCGCCCAGGCTTGTAGGTGCGTCGCTCCAGACTCTGCCTCACCAGCACACGGCCGTCTTCTCCTTGTGCGTTTCCATTCTCACATGACATTCTCCTCTCTGTGTCTCTCGTGTTGGTATCAGGACTCTGGGCATGTTGGATCAGGAGTCCGTCCTGCTCCAGGGTGACCTGTTCTTAATTAATTACATCTGCAACAGTCCTATTGCCAAATAAGGTCATGTTCTGAAGAACCAGGAGTTAGGACCTTCAACATATGGATTCTGGGAGGACGCGGTTCAGCACATCACACTATTGTTGTTGTTATTGCTTATTATTTAATAAGCCAGTATTGCCCACCGACAGTGTCCTGGGCCACCCAGGAAAGGGTGGGCTAATGGGCTGTTCTGGATTCCTGGGGAGGCTTTTCTGGGGTCTCCATCTCCAGGGATGGGTCCTCCGTTTTCTCTGTGACTGTAATCCCAGTTTTTAATCTGCCCCTGCAAGGGTGCCTGGCCATGGGGGATGGAGCACTGGTGTCTGTCTGGCTTGGCTCTGAAGCCTGGCCCTGGGAGTTCTTAGTTTTCTCATCTGCATAATAGGCTTGGCATGACCCTGACCTGGGAGTCACTTGGCCAGAGAATCACGTGACCATGGGCAGATGCAGGATGCAGGCAGAGAGCAGGTGTCAGAGCGGTTGGGCAGCAGGGAAGGGGGGACCTGGCTTGGACCCCTGGGCTCATGCAGGTGACAAGGGGACCAGCATAGGAAAGCAGACCCCAGCTGTTCCAGGGCAAGTCACAGTGTCCGTGTTGGGTAGAACCTCTCTTCCCCCAGCCTTGGCTCCTGCCCTGCCCACACCAGTGTGCATGAAACTGGCACACATAGGGCATACCATAAATGCTCCATGAGCTGTCCTAGCATAGAGCCAGCACACAGAAGGTGCTCACTAAATTCTCTAGGGCCTGTACGAGCATGGATCGAGCACACAGAAGGTGTTCCATAAATGCTCCATGAACTGTACTTAGCATGGAACCAGGATACAGAAGGTGCTCAGTAAATGCTCAGTGAACCATATTGCATTGAGTCCTTTGTTCTGAGCCATACATTCATTTCTTACTTGGGGGGGTCGGTGTCTACAGAGTAATAATTGGGAACTTGGGGGAAAAGTGTTTGGCGTCCACTTACCCGGTCCTGAGCCTGGGAGCTGGTCCTGCCCGCTGGCCTGGGAGCCGCTGTGTGCGGACCCTACCCCCGGCTCTGGATGCCTCTTCTCTGCCTGACCAACCGTTGCTCAGCTGCTTGACTTCCCAGCCCGAGTCACAGCCGCTGCACAGGGTGACATCACGGCAGAGCCAGGCTTTGGAGTCAACCAGGGCTGGGTGGAGCCCTGTCCCGCCTGGTCATCTTGTTTCCTGGCCTTCCTGTGCTGTAGCTTTTCCATCCAAGAGATGGGAAGTAGCTCCACACGGTGCTCCGGTGAGGATCAAACAGGTGATCCTTCAAAGATTCCCCAAAGATACCAAAACATCAGGAATGTTTATTTTTAAGATAAAGTCACCTAGCAATTCCACGTGTGGATCTGAGCCCAGCAGAAATGAGTGCAGACGTTCACCAAAGGATGTGCACAGAACGTTCCTGAGCGGAGCTATACGTCACAGCCCCACGCAGGAGTGTCCGCACGCAGCAGGCCGGAGAACTCGTGCGTGGCGTGTGCATATTCATGCGGGGAGTACTACTTGGCCATGAAAACAACCGATTGCTGTATCCAACAGCATGAACGAATCTCACACAAATCACAGTGAGCAAAACAACCTGGACACGAAACTGTGCTGTGTGGGTTCATTGATAGCAAGTTCAAGGTCAGGCAGAACTAAGTCCCAGTGACAACGCCAGAGGGTGTTTCCTCTGGGGCAAGGTACCCGCTGGGGAGGGGCATGGGGCACTTTCTGGGGGGCAGGAAATGAGTTGTGACTCCTCCTGGGTGGTGCTTATGTGTATGGGGCTGGAAAAATTCACCGTATAAGTTATACATTGAGAAAGTACAAATCAGATATGAAGAGAATGCCACATCCCAGTGTTTGATAAAGTTTTGTAACAAACACCGCCATGGGATTAGGCACGAAATATTGGGTAGTCAAAAAACATTTAATAATCAGAAAGAGAGGGAGGTGAGGGGGAGATGGGGCAGAGGAAGGGGAGGGCTCTTCTATTCCCACCAGCAGCGGGGAGGGTCTTCAGGCCTCCTGGGAACTCCGAGCGGAGCTGCTTCCCCAGCCGAGCTTCCGGGATTCTGCTCTCGTTCCAGGTTCATGAACCACCGCGTCCCTGCCCACAAGAGGTACCAGCCCACGGAGTACGAACATGCGGCCAACTGTGCCACCCACGCTGTGAGTTGGCTCTTGGGGGGCTAAGGGCTGAGATGGGGACACTTCCAGGTGGGGGCGGGGAAGTCAGCGTCTTTGCCTGTGGAGACATTCAGCCCGTTCTCAGTGGCCCTCAGAAAAGTGAGTGGGATCCTGAGGGAAGGTCATGGAGTAAGTTAGACTGTGGTGCTGAGCATGCTCAAGAATCGTCTGTGGCTCCCTAGTACCCAGTGCAGCATCCAATCACTCTAGCAAGCTCCTGGCTGGGGCTGAGCCCGTCTGTGATCCCACCACTCGTGCCCACGCTCTCACCCCCAGATTCCAGCACTTGAACCACTCGCTGTTTCCTAAATAAAAGGCACAACTCCATGCCTTTGCACACGCTGTTTTCTCTGCTTGGTATACTCGCCGTCTCCACCCCAGCCTCACCTGTGAAAGCCTTTTCCTCATTTGTGGTCTTGCCGAAATGTCCTCCCAAAGCCTTCCCATCTGCCCAGACGCTGGGAGGCCCTGGTCCCACCCCCAGCCCCCAGCCACATCAGCCCGCACTGCCCTGCATTATGCTGCGCTGGAAGGTACCAATCCATCGCTCATTCACTCAGCAAACAGCTCCTGGAAACCCTCAAAGCGCCAGCCGCTGCTCCAGACCTTGGTGATGCAAATGTGAGTTTAAACCGAAACCCTGGTGGCAGGCACAGTGGCTCACACCTGTAATCCCAGCACTTCGGGAGGCTGAGGTTAGAGGATCGCTTGAGGCCAGGAGTTAAAGACCAGCCTGGGCAACATAGCGAGATCCCATTTCTACAAAAACATTTAAAAATTAACTGGGCATGGTGGAGTGTGCAAGTGGTCCCAGCTACTCGGGAGGCTGAGGTGGGAGGATCACTTGAGCTGAGGAGTTCAAGGCTGCAGTGAGCTATGATCTTATCACCACACTCGAACCTGAGTGACAGAGTGAGACCCTGTCTCAAAAAAAGGTAAAAAAAAAAAAAAGGAAAAAATTTTAAAAAATCAGGACAAAACATAATCAGTGTCTCCAGCCTAATGAGAACTATGTATGTCCCTAAATTCTGAAGTAGCATGAGGTAGATGCTGTTTATTTTTTAAGGTGATGTAAGACTCATGAAAGTAGTTTGTAAGTTTGCAATTCCACCCCCTTCATCAGCACTTCCATCTTGCCTGTTGCTGTCCAGTCTGCCGTGCACAGATGTACGCGTGGGTGGCTGATGGCCTTTGATTAAGGAACTGTCCTTCTGCTTGGTGTGCCACTGCAGGCCCTTTCCCCTCCATCCCATGCTTCCTGGCTGGCAGGGTGCCCCCTGCTTTTGCAAACTGCTTGGGCTGGCTTTGCAGCTAGATTTCTTTTCAGGGAATCCTGGCAGGTGCACATGGCTGGGCCGGATCCCCATGTGCCTTTTTCTCTCTGCTTTAGGCTTTTGCTGCCTTCCTTACTGCAGTGTATATTCGTTAAGTGCCTACCGTGGACCGCTAACCTGTGCAGCTCACGTCACAAGAACAGACAGTGAATGAGTAAGGCTGTGATATAGGTTGTGGTGACTGCCGTGGAGAGAAGGCACAGGGTCTCACGAGAGCAGATACAGGAGGGACCTAGTCAGGGAGTACAGAGAACGTGCTTCTGCGAGAGGGACTTTTTTTTTGAGACAGGGGCTCACTCTGTCACCCCAGGCTAGAGTGCAGTGGCATCATCATAGGCTCAGGCGATCCTCCTCCCTCAGCCTCCCGAGTAGCTGGGACTACAGGTGCTACCACTACACCCGGCTAATTTTTCTATTTTTTTTGTAGAGATGGGGTCTCACTCATGCTCAGGCTGGTCTCCAACTCCTAAGCTCAAGGTATCCTCCCGCTTCAGCCTCCCAGAGTGCAAGGATTACAGGCACGAGCCACTGCTCCCAGCCCCAGAGTGATATTTTAACTGACTCCTGAAGGATGACCAGGAGCCTCCTGAAGAGCAGAGGGAACAGCATGTCCAGCAAGAGGGAACAGCATGTGCAAAGGCCCTTTATTCAGGAAAGAGTTTGTCATGTGGGAGCAACTGGACGAAGGCCCGTGAGGTCAGAGCGTGGTGACCCAGGGGCAGAGCAGGAGGGAGAGTGGCGAGGGGCACAGGTGGAGGGCTGAGCAGGGCCAGATCGTACACCAGCAGAGGCAGAGGATTTGGCAATTCCATTCTCTACGGCCAACCACGATGGACTGTCCACTACTTAAACGTTTACAAGGTGAACCTTGTGCTGTTCTGGGCGGGCTCTGCCTTCAGGCGCTCTGTGTAGGGCAGCTAGGGGGCATCAGTGACGATGGTACGTGGTGTGTGGCACATCAGACTTCTCTGTGTGGTGGCTCAGAGGGGCTGGGTACAGGGGAGCCGGCTGCCCCCTGGGACATGGCTCTTAACCGTTCAGTGCGTGGGCCCCTCAGTGTCTAGTCAAAGATCTAGGCCTGCAGTGTCCGCGTCGGCAGCCACTGGCCCTTGTGGCTATCGAAATTCACACTTGAACCCGTTAAAAGGAAATGAAATGCAATAATTCCATCTTCCGTGGACTGGCAACATTTCAAGGGCCTCGTGGCTGCCACGCTGGCCGCCATGGTGGGCAGCTCGGGCTGGGGGGAGGGGCGGGGTGTGCTCGGGCGGTCGGGGCTCCCGGGCGCTGCAGCACCTGCCCCGCTCCCGCCTGCAGTTCTGGATCATTCCCAGCATCCTCGGCAGCTCCAACCTCTACTTCCTGTCGGACGACGACTGGGAGACCATTTCTGCCTGGATCTACGGCCTCGGCCTCTGCGGGCTCTTCGTGGTGTCCACCGTGTTCCACACTGTCTCCTGGAAGAAGAGCCACCTCAGGTGCCTCCTGCGCAGCCCACGGGAGGGGACGCATGTGGGCGGGGGGCCCACGTGGCCCGAGGGGTGAAGCTGGATGCTGAGTCTGCCTGGGGACGGCTCAGCTGAGCCAGGAGGGGCAAGGGTGGGGTGACCCATGGGCAGACCCCCTGGGCAGACCACTCACCCGTGGGAGCTCCCGGCTCACCTCTGGCAGGACCATGAGAGCAAGCCCCTGGCCGCAGGGCGCAGTAATCGTGTCCCTGGGCGCCTGCTTGGTTCCCGGCACCCTACAGGTGCTGTTCCCTAGTCTTCTCAATAATTGTGCAATGCAGGCATTAGAATCCCCAATTTTTAAAATTTGTATGTGATTTATTTTTTTATATTGTGGCAAAATAAACACAGCATCAACATAAAATTTACCATCAATCCCTTTTAAGCTAATTCAGTGGCTTAAAGCACAGTGACATCATTGTGCAACCACCACCACCCTCCACCTCCAGAGCTTGTCATCTTCCCAAGCTGAAACTCCGTCCCCATCAAACAACAGCTCCCCGTTCCCCTCACCCAGCCCCGGCGCCCTCCGTTCTGCTTTCTGTCTGTGTGGATGTGACAGCTCTGGGGACCTCATGTAAGTGGAGTCACACAGCGTTTCTCCTTTTGTGTCTGGCTCATTTCACGTCACATGACGTCCTCAAGCCTCGCCCACGTGGTAGCTTGCAGTGCCTCTGCCTTACAGGTGTCGCTGCCGAGGTCGGAAGCCTCGCTCGAGGTTGCATAGCTGGTCGTGTCCAAACCAGAGCTGGTTCCGGGACTCCAGCCCCCCATAAAGCCATGTGCCACCCCCTCCTGTCCACATTCTTGCCCTGTCCCTGGTCTTTCTGGAGCCCCACAGGATGAGTTTCTCCAGGCTGCCGTAACACGTAACACTCCGGTGGCTTAAACAACACAAGTGTGCTCTCTCATGTTCCTGGAGCCCCAAAGTGTGAGATCGAGGTGTCAGCAGGGCCACGCTCCCTCCAGAGGCTCCAGGGGAGGGTCCTTCCTGCCTCTTCCAGCTTCTGGTGGCTCCTGGCATGCCTTGGCTTGTGGCCACATCACTCCAATCTCAGCCTCTGTCTTCACGTGGCCTTCCTCACCGTGTGTCTCTGTGTCCAAATCTCCCTCTGTTTTCTGTTATAGAGACACCGGTCATTGGTTTTAGGGCCCAGTGGTGTGACTGTGCTGAGCCTTAGTGACCCCGTCTATGACATGGTGGATGAAAATAATGGTGCCTACATTATTGGCAGGATCAAAGAGTTAATGCTCGCGAAGAGCTTAGAACAGTGCTCTGATGACAGGGTGTGCCCTATATGTGGGAGCTGTAGTTACTGTTTTGATTCTAGGAGGACATGTGGCTGAACCATACATAGAATCACTGGGCACGTGTGTTCGTGGCTGCCCTTTGCTAGTCAGAATCATAGTTTGTACCAGTTACCTATTGCTGCGTGACAAAGTAGGCTAAATCATAGTCATTTAGCATAACGAGAAGCATTTATTATTTATCTCTCAAAGCCTCAGAGGATCAGGGATTTGGGAGCTTAGCTGGATGTCTCTGGTTCAGGGTCTCTGCTGATGTCAGATCCGGGCTGAGGCTGTTGTCATCTGCAGGCTCGACTGGGAATGGAGTGTCCACTTCCAAGGCGGCTCCCTTACAGGGCTTGCAGGCTGGTGCTGGGAGCTTGGGGACACTCAATTCTTCCTCCACAGTCACCCAGGGGCTTGTTTCCCCCAGAGTTTGTGATCCAGGAGGACAGGCAGAAGCTGTAATATCTTTTATGATCTAGCCACAGAACCCACTCACTGCCATTTCAGCCATATCCTGTTGGTTCCCTGAGTTTGCCGCATTTGTCGTGGGCAGGGACTGTGCAAGGGCGAATGCCAGGGGGCAGGACACCACTCTGTATCGAGGGCTACCGTCCGCTATTCAAGGTGAAGTAGTAATAAAAACAGCTCACATCTGTTGAGCACTTCTTGTTACGCGCTGTGCTATTAACTCGCTGAATCCTCACAGCGGCTGTGACCAGGTGGCTGTGTTCTCTGTTGAGTAGGGAGGAATCTGGGACCCAGAGAGTTGATTGTTTGAGGTTGTGTAGTCCCGAAGTGTAGAGCTGAGATTCGAACCCACACCTTCTGGCTCTAGAGCCTAGATCTGAACCACTAAGCTGTTCTGACATGGGATGTCGAAACCCAGAGAGTCTTCAGGGGGCTCCGATTAGTAGTTCTTTGCCCCTTTTGTGAGCCACTGAATTCTTTCTTCATTTGAAACTTTTGGAAAAGCCCAGTGTATAAAACAGAAATGCAGCATTGCTCTGGTTAGAGGAGGGGAGGGGACTTCAGATTCTTCCTCTCCTGGGGTGCCAGTCCCTGGGCATCTCCATAGGCCCCTGGGCTGATGAGGAGCCTGGTTTGAAAACTGCTACCCCCTGCTCTGGTCACTCACACACCGGGAGACAGAGGCCCAGGGATCCTGGCTGGGTAGAGGCAAGTCAGCCTGAGCCCAGCTCCCTCCCCTCCCGGGGCTCCGCTCTGCGTGCACCTGCCGGTCCCTGCGGCCCAGGGGCAGTGACGGCCACCTCTCTGCCCGCCCTAGGATGGTGGAGCACTGCCTGCACATGTTCGACCGGATGGTCATCTATTTCTTCATAGCGGCCTCCTACGCACCCTGGTGAGTACCTCCCGCCCCCCAGCGGAGGCATGGCTGTCTTCTTCTTCTTGCGTCTAATTTATCTTTATATTTGGCTCAGTAATATGTTGACTTGGCACAGGAGAGTATCTGCAGAAAGACTCCCTCCACCCCATTTTCCTTCCTGGAAGCAACTGCTTATTTGTAGCTTCTTGCATATCCTTCTAGAGCTATTTTATATGTAAAAGACAAATATGTATGTGTATGTGCACATGTATACACACACATGTATAAATATGTATTATACATGTGTACATATGTATAATGCATCTATACCTACATTTTATATTTACAAGTATATATTTATACTCCTTCCCTCCCACTTCTAATACAGAAGGAAGAATACTATACAAACTGTTCTGCAGTTTGCTTTCATTTTTTTAGTACTGTAGCTGGGGACATCTTTCCATATTAGTACTTTGAAGATCTCCTCATTCTTTTTAATAGCTGCATACTATTCCCCTATTCATGGATCTCTATTACATTGAGACACTCCGTTCCTTGGCTGTGACAAACAATGCTGCAGTAAATCTCTTGGCATGTCATCCATTTTGCACAGGTGCTTGCGTGTGTTGGCTAGAATCACGTGAACTTGCCAATAGCCGTCCTGTTTTGTCCTGCAAGAACAGCAGCTTCGCATGGTCGAGCCTGGTCATTGTGGAACAAATTCCTAGAATTGGACTTTTTGGATCACAGTGGGTGGGCGCTAGTAATCTGGCTAAGTGTTGCCAAATCCCTCTCCACCAAGATTTATTCCAGTTTCAACTCTAGCAAGTGACAGGTCATTGATGTCACAGTGAGACAGGCCTGTGCACACACGGCTGTGACAGCTCAGAGGAGGTGCTCAGCTGCAGGGGAGCTGCAGGAGGGCTGCCTGGAGGAGGTGTGCCACTCCCAGCATCTGCATGTTGGCCTCTGAGGCATGGGAGCCACATAAAGATTTGTTGTTACATTTTTGCCAGGGTGATCTCTATCTTTGGCCGTCATAAAAGGAGTATGATCTTTTATTATATCCCCTAATAAATGGGTTTTGTTTGTGTATATGAAGGCTATTGCTTTTTAAATACATTTTGTTGGTGTGTAATTTACAAGGACAATGTGCACAGTCTTACGTGTGTATCTTGATGAATTTCCAAACCGTAGCCAGCACCCAGGGGAAGAAACAGAATATGACCAGCCCCAAGAAGTCTCATAGCCCCTCTCCGGCCACTGCCCCCCAAGGGTGGCTGCAGTCCTGACTTCCACAGTCATGTACTATTAATGGTTTTGCCGGATGCTGCACTTTATGTTAACGGAATCAACGCTCGATTGCATCTTGCTTCTCTCCTGCATCCGCACGTCTGGTGATTCCTCTGCACTGTGTGCGGCTGTCTGTTCATCCTCCTCGTGGGGCAGCACTGGGAGTGGCTGTGCCATTCTCCTGCCGGGAGACGTTTGCAGAGTTTCCAGGGTGCGGTGGCTGCGGGGAATGGCCCTCTGCACACATTTGTACCTGGGGGCAGGTACAGAAGTACGTGTTTCTGTTGCGTCTGTGCTTAGGAGGGGCTGGAGGGGTTTGAGTGAAGACATTGGTGTGTTCTAGGTTTTGGACTGATGAGTGGCTGACTTGGGAGCAGAGAGGCTGGTGCAGATGCCTTAGGGACGCATGGTGGTGGCCCGGACCATCACAGCTGCCCTGGAGGGGTGGGACGGATTAAAAAGATGTTCAACAGGAAAGTCTGAGTGGGAAAGAGGAGGAAAGAGGGGAAGATGGAGTTTCCAGGCTGGTTTTCCCTGGCACGCCGGCGACTGTTGGGAGTGGGCAGCCCTGCTGTGGTCTGCCAGAGAGATCACTGGATGTGAGCCCCGTGCACAGCTGGGCTTAGAGACAGCGGGACCTGCTGCTACCCTGGAAGCCAGTGGCCGATGGGAGGCCACTTGAGGGTGCCAGAGCCGAAGGCCGGAGGAGCCAGAAGCCACGGAGGGAGTTCAGCCCGTGTGGTGGCTTCTTGTTGGCCCTGAGCTGTCCCTGGGCACCACCTGGTGTCTTTTTGGTTGTTGCCGAAAAGAGTCAAGCTAAGTTTTGTGCTCAGCGGTGGCAGCTATCCCTGCCGTAGATTTCTAGTGCAACCCTCTGACTGTCCTCCCCGTGCTGCTGTAGTACCTGAGTGTCTGTTCTCGGCCCCTGGCTGTGGTTCACTGAGCACACTCCGTACGGGCCCGTGCTGGGAGCTGAGGGTAGCACCGCAAACAAAAGCACGGGCTCCTTCTCCTGTGGAACTTGCCCTCTCATGGGGGACACAGACGTTGCACGCCCAGTGCTCACACAGTCGTGGTAAGTGTCGTGGAGGAGGGCACAGGTGTCAGGCGCCCTGGCCTGAGAGCTGCCTGGGGGGGGGGTGTGAATCTGCAGGACTCAGGGATTGGATGGATGTGGGCGGTAGGAGGGACAGAGGAGCTTGGATGGAGACCAGTGTTCTGGTAGACACCTGGGTGCACGGTGAGAGGGGACATGGACTGGGTGGTGCTGAATTACTTGGTGGGTATTGTTCCTTGTACTGCTCTGGTTTTCAAGCCATTTTCTGCAGAGCCATGGAGGTCTCCAGAGGACCTCGGAAGGGCTAGGGGTGTGAACGACTTTGGGCCTCCCCATCCCTTCCTCAGTCAGAGAAACTCTACTTGGTTTTTTGTTTTTTACAGATTGGGCTTACATATAAGAGTCCTGCCTAAATGCTTCACGTAAGGAAAGGGTTTGAATGACTAGAAGATTGGAAGGCTCTGGTGTAGTATTGTAGAAAGAGAATGAATTGTAGAGTCACACCAAGTTCTGATCCCAGATCACCTTTGTCTGAGCCACGTGCCCTTGGGCAAATTACAGAGTCAGAGCCTCAGTTTCCCAACCTGTAAAATGGAGACATTGGTAACCCCCCCCCCCCAGCTGTAGTGAGGAGAAGCAAGGTCAGGGCACGATGTCCACACATATGTCTTTGCGTGGTGGAAGAGGATGTCCACACATATGTCTTGGTGTGGTGGAAGAGGATGTCCACACATATGTCTTTGCATGATGGAAGAGGATATCCACACATATGTCTTTGCATGGTGGAAGAGCCTGTGTCATGGTTGAAGGAAGAAGTGGCAGAATCAAGTGTGGCACAGAGTCTTCCTTCCAGATGCTCAAGAAAACAAGCAAATGATATTTCTAAATATTGAGGAGGGTGAAAGAAACATCACTACCAGCTGCTGGACCGGGAGGAAGACATGGGCCCATGCCAGGATTTCAGAAAGAGTCGGAAAGTTCTGGAGCTGAGTGGAGCAGCCTTGGGGTGCATCCTCACCCACCTTCCCCCCTACCCTAGCCCTCCTGGTGGTTTTGCCAGTGGCCTATACCTGCACAGGTGTCCTGATCTTGTCCTGCTGACTGGGGACACTGGAGAAGGCTCCTTGGGAAAAGTGTGAGATGGGCGGGGCGCGGTGGCTCACGCCTGTAATCCTAGCCCTCTGGGAGGCCACGGTGGGCAGATTGCTTGTGGTCAGGAGTTCAAAACCAGCCTGAGCAAGAGTGAGACCCCATCTCTACTAAAAAAGAAATTAATTGGCCAACTAAAAACACACAGAAAAAATTAGCCAGGCATGGTGGCACATGCCTATAGTCCCAGCTACTCGGGAGGCTGAGGCAGGAGGATTGCTCGAGCCCAGGAGTTTGAGGTTGCTGTGAGCTAGGCTGACGCCACAGCACTCTAGCCCAGGCAACAGAGTGAGACTTTGTCTCAAAAAAAGAAAAAAAAAAGTAAAAGAAAAAAGAAAAGTATGAGATGAGGAGAGCAGCCTGCGACCCCTGCTCTGGGTCGCAGGCTGAGCTGCTTAGCTGTGGTGGCTTTGGACGGTGTTGGCTTCACTAAGCTGGAGCCGCAGTTCTCAGAATTCCCTTCTCTGTGTGGTCCCGGGTGGGAAGGTAGAAGCAAAACAGTGTGCAGTGCTGGAGGCTGTTGCTTACGCCCCTTTTCTTTAGCTCTGGGCTCCTCAGTGGCCTGGGATTGCCTCCTTCAGCTTTTCTGGGTCTTGGGACAAACACATGTGCAGTTCCCAGCTTCTTCTGCTGGTCACCTACGTCATCCTCCTGTGTCATTGAGGTTGATGGTGGCGGCAGACAGAGGCAGGTCCTGCTGGTCCTTGCTCTCCTCTGTGCTTCCGATTTTCTTCTCACTTCTGGCCCCACCGTTTGCAGTGACTTCAAGCCCATTAACAAGAAAACGAATATAATGAAATAAGAGCACAAAGACGAGATGATAAAACAAGCAACTAGAATGAACACGGTGACCTAAAGAAACACATTGAAGAACAAAGCCACGATGTGATGGAATGAATTAATAATTCAACTTAGCAAAGAACAACATCGAAAGTACTGAAAATCAAATACCAGCCTAGAGGGAGGGCTTGAGAGAATTAGGGAGGATGCACATGTTCTTAAAAAGCTGGACAGTAAAGCAACCAGAGAGAAGCTAATAGACATGAAAGATAGACGGACAAATTCTTCAGTCATCGAGACTGAAAAAAACCAAATCCCTTACAAAGGGAGAAATCATGTTTTGGCCTCAGGACTTGGCCATAGCACCATTCAATACTGACACACAGTGGAGACATTCTACAGGTTTCCATGGGTGGACTTCAGAATAAACTATGTGGTGTGGTTATTGTGCATGCGCAAGAACAATAGACAACCATTCTCATAAAGAAAAGAAGTCCGAGGATATGGTACCCATGAAGAATTTTTGAAAAAAACTAGTTTGACAACAAAATCTAGCCAATTAAGAGATTCCAAAAAAAAAAAAAAAAAAAGAAAAAAGAACTTAAGAATGGCAGTGAATATTGATTCCGTTAACAAAATCAACCAATGTTAAAGAGTTGTGTGACTTGTGGTTGTATTAATAGAAGAGAATATGAATATTACAGACTTTGGGAATGTAAAATCAATAGTGTCTCAGACAAATCAGGCAGTCGGCGGAGGAAAGGCAACTGATGGGCTTGTCTTTCTTTCGCAGTGGGGAGTCAATTGATAGCATTGACATTGGAAACATGTCATTTAAACAATTCCAATCTCCTTATGTTTTTACATAAATTATCTTCTTAACTATAGAGTCAGAGTGAATTTTATGGTGAATTTTATGGTGAAGATCAGCAGAAAAAATTGTAGGGTTCATTTTCTTCTGTTAAATTCAAGTTAATGTTAATGTCATACTTTTAATTAAAAATGGCATGCATAATTTGTTTCTCACCGTTTCTGCCTTCCTTCGTCCCATCCATCTCTCTACCCTTGCCCTCTGTCCCATTTTATGCCCGTCTACCCTCCATTGCCTATTTCTTGATCTGCTTGGAAGGAAATCTGGAATGATGTTCACTGATGATTATTTTGGGTAATGAGATAGGTTATTACTTTTTTTACCTTTAAACTTTTCAGTATTACTTAACTTCTTTATAGTGACAGCCGGACTCTTAGCAGGTCACTTTTTTTGGCAGAGGTTTTACATAAGATGTTCTCCTTCAAGAAATTCATTCCAGAAAAATTTTTCCCCAACCACAGCCACCATTAACTGTCCCTTTCCAGACAAAACCACTTGGGAAGGGGTTCAGATATTTTTCTATGTATTTACACGTATCTCTTTATGTGTACAAATAATATAGTGATGTTATTCCTGATTCATGCCCCCTCAACACCTAGCCATGTATGTTACAGATCTATCCCAGTTGGTACAAACAGATTGTCCTTATATTTTTTAAACTGCTGTGGTGGGGCATGGTAGTTCTTGCCTGTAATTCCAGCACTTTGGGAGGTCAAGGCAGGAGAATCGCTTGAGACCAGGAGTTCAAGACCAGCCTGGGCAACATAGCTAGACCATGTCTCTACAAAAAATAAAAAAAATTAGCTGGCATGGCGGCAGGCAGCTATAGTCCCAGCTGTAATACTTGGGAAGTTGAGCCAGGAGGATCAATTGAGCCCAGGAGTTTGAGGTTGCAATGAGCTACGATGAGGCCACTGCACTCTAGCTTGGGCAACAGAGCAAGACCCTGTCTCAAAAACAAACAAATAAAACCTGCTGAATATTCCACAGGATGGTGTATTAGTCAGGGTACCATCAGGAGGCAGATACTGTACAATGATTTGAACAAGGAAAACTTAATCCAGACATAACTCAGAATATGCTAAGTTCAGTTGAGATCACTGCAATAAAGTAAGTATCATAATAAAGCTAGTCACATGAATTTTATGGTTTCCAAAGTACATATAAAAGTTGCATCTACACTATCCTGTAGTGTGTTCAGTGTATGATAGCATTATGTCTTAAAAAACAATGCACATGCCTTAATTAAAAAACACTTTATTGCTAAACAATCCTAGCAATCATCTGAGCTTTTAGCAAGTCGTGATCTTTCTGACCGTGGAGGGTCTTGCCTTGGTGTTGATGGCCTTGCTGTGGGTTAGGCTTTGGCTTAAGGGAATGTTGTGGCTGGTTTGGTCTTCTATCCAGACTGCTAAAACTTTCCCCGTATCAGCAGAAAGGCTGTTTCTTTTTCTTATTATTTGTGTGTTCACTGGAGGAGCACTTTTAATTTCCTTTAAGAACATTTCCTTTGCATTCACAACTTGGCTAACCGTTTGGTGCAAGAGGCCAGCTTTCAGCCCATCTCAGCTTTCGATATGCCTTCCTCACTAGCTTAATCATGTCTGGCTTTTGACTTAAAGTGAGAGAGGTGCAATTCTTCCTTTCATTTGCACACTTCAGAGACCATTGTAGGGTTATTAATTGGCCTGATTTCAATATTTCTGTGTCTCGGGGGATAGGGAGGGCTGAGGAGAGGGAGAGACGGGGGAACGGCAGCCATGGAGCAGCCAGCACATGCACAGTTACTGTTTGCTGTCTTACATGGTGTGGTTTGTGGCTCCCCAAAACAATTATAATAGCAATGACGAAGATCACTGATCACAGATCACCATAACAGCAATAATAATAATGAAAAAGTCTGAAATATTGTGAGGATTACCAAAATGTGACACAGAGACACGAAGTGAGCACCTGCTGTTGGAAAAATGGCATCGATAGACTTGCTTGATGCGGGGCTGCCACACCTTTAATTTGTTAAAAAAAAAAATGCAATACCTGCAAAGTGCAATAAAGTGAAGCACAGTAAAGCGAGGCGTGCCTGTATCGAGAATTATTAAGAGGACTGAAGTGACGGAGAACTGATGAATGAGAGTTCAAGACAATTCTAAAGAACACAGTATCGGCAGATATAAGGGACAACTCCCAAAGGTGAGTTCAGACGCCCAAGGGCGAGCCCCCCCGCCCTCCACCCAGGGATGAGATCCCAGGACCTTGTCCGAAATGGCGTGGCCTTGGCATGCTGGATGGCAGAGGTCAATGACAAGCCTGCTTGTGCGACATGCTGGAAATCTTCCCTCCAGGATGCCAGGGAGGCCATCCACAGGGGTGCTGATCCTGGACATGTGCTCCGTGCTGGGGACGCTGCCGTGGATGCTGCTGGGACCAGGAGATGGGGAGGTCTCCTCTGTGGGGACCTAGAACATTTATGTGCAGTTCAGTCATGACAGCTCTAGGCAGCCAGTCAGCTTGCTGGACAAGAAGCCCCATGGGAACCCCAAGTGTGCATGTGGGGCTGAAAAGGGGTATTGGGAGCAGCTGCCTGGGCTAGGGCACAGCTTGCTCTGTCTGGGGTCCCTGGCTCTGCTGCTTTTACCTAAGTCAACTGCTGGAGAAAACACACTGAGGCCACATGCAGGAGAAAGCCGCACCCTGTTGGCACTAACACCGGAGAAACCACCGGGCTGAGCAGTGGAGAAAGGAGCACATTTTCCAGGATCCTGGTGTAAGAACCACAGGAATCTGGAAAGAAGAGCCTTTTTTCCTGCAAAGTCTCTCCAGTGCCCCCTCCTGCCAAGACCTAACACTGTGCCTGCTGTAAAGGAAGACTATTCATAAGGCCCAGCTACATTATCACAGAACAGGCAAAAAGGGTAAAGTCGGAGCTGAAAGACAATGAATTGATAACCAACACAGGTGGATACCATCTTTATTCTCCCTCCCCTTTTGGTAGCTATTTGGGTGGTTTTCAGGCTTTTCCTGCAGGCACCAATGCTGGGTGAACGTCTGTGTGTGAGTTTATGCGCACACAAAGCAGCTTTTCTTTGTCTAGCTGCTGGAATGACTGGGAACATGCACTTCAAAGTTTGGTAGATTCTGCCAGATTGCTGTCCAGACAGGCTTTACTCACACATTCTCCCTTTGCTCTTGGACATGATCAGTTTTACTAATTTTCTTCTAGCAATCACTTGCTGTTTCAATTCGTCTAGTGTTCTTTCTGCCTCTCTGCAAGCCTCTCTGTGAGAGCCCATGTCCCACCTGTGGGCTTCTCTGGGGTCAGTTTCCTGTGACAGGCTGACCCTTGGGGGCTCGGTCGGGGCAGGGCCCCTCAGGCTGTGCCCTCGGCCCTCTCTCTCCCAGGCTGAACCTCCGGGAGCTGGGCCCCTGGGCCTCCCACATGCGTTGGCTGGTCTGGATCATGGCCTCTGTCGGCACCGTCTATGTCTTCTTCTTCCACGAGCGGTAAGCCCAGCCTGGGGGTCTCAGGTGGGTGGGGTTCCCCTTGGTGCTCCAGCAGGGCCTCCTCCTCGCCCCTGCGCAGGCGAGATCCCAGGATGACTCACAAGCACATGGGCACGGCTCTGGCAGGCATTCCAGCGTTCAGGCCCAGGGGTAGCCACGAGACCCCACAGCCCATAGGGTCAACCTGAAGACTTTGTCAAAAAGACATCATAGGTTCCTAAACTGTTGAGCTGGGTCACATGTCACCTGCCTTCCCTAAACTATGTTAGCAGATGGCGGGGAAAGGCTCCCTTAGAGATGGCTCTTTCGGAGAGAGCCACATGTCCTGTGCCCCCATCCTGCCAAGTGACATCCCTACCAAGGGATGGGAATGGTTAAGTAGGGAACGAAACAGTAGAGGCAAAAGGGAATAACATATTGCTGCAGCCTCGGGGCCCAGGGGCCTCTGGAGGTCATTTAATCTGGGGCAGCAAATTGGCTTCAGGTGATGCAGCAACAGAGCTTGATTGAGAGTGGCTGCTTGGGCCCTGTGGGAAAAATGCTGGGATCGAATAGTAATGTCTGCCCTGGGCTGAGCATGGGAGGGAGTGCCATGTGAGTGCTATGCCCAATATTTTCAACCCCTATTCTTGCTCTAGCATGCCATTTCATAGATGTGGAAACTGAGTCTCAGAGAGGGGAAGTGCCCAAGGTCACGCAACTGCCAGCACCTGTTGGATGTGGCTGGATAAAATATGAGCCAAAGAGTGCTGGACAGAGAAAGAGCCTTCTTCTCACTGTTCTGGTCAGGTTGTCCCCTCTTCCCCAGACACGGGGAGCTGTACACTGTCTCCTCATGGGAGGCATGTCCTGAGGCCGAGGTGGTTGTCTTCCCGCCAGGTACAAACTTGTGGAGCTGCTCTGCTACGTCGTGATGGGCTTCTTCCCCGCCCTGGTCATCCTGTCAATGGTAAGTCCCACCTGCCTGGCGCTGGGGAGGCTCACATATGGCTGGAGGGGACCAACAGTGTCTGAGCTGGACCTGACTCTCGAGGTTGTCACGTCAAGCCCTTTCCTTTGGCAGATGGGGAAACTGAGGCCCAGCATGACTTGCCTAAAGAGGCAGTAGGACATAGAGGCTAGTCCTGTGTCCTGACAGCTGGCTTCTCCACCACTAACTCTGCCTAACCTTGGGCGAGTTCACTAACCCCTCTCTGCTTCGTTCTTCCTGTCTGCTTAAGGATGAAATGAGAAGATCCACATATGGTGCCTGGGGCAAAGTAGGTACCCAGTCGCTAAATTAAATCTATAATGGTAATCACATAATTGGCACAGGGGGCCAGATTGCAGTCTCAGGTCTTCCGACCCCTCCCTCCCGTGTTTCACGTACTAAACTGCTTCTGGGCACACGTGGAAGCCAGGCACAGCAGGAGCAGCCCGGTCCTCTTGTTTAGCACATGTCCTCTGAGCCCTTAGGAAGTACAGGGGACCCCCACTCCCCACCCCTAGGGTCTTACTGCATCATCCCAGGCGACCTTGGGATGGTTCACAAATAAGGACACTCAGGCTCTGAGAGGGGAGGTGACCTGCCAAGGACATGCAGCCCCTGTGTGGCTGAGCTGGGACTTCACCCCATAACTCTGACTGCGAGTGTCCTTGGTGTCTTTGATCTGCACCATGTGGCCTTCTGAGGGTGTGTGACCTTTGAGCAGAGGACTGAGGGCCCTGGACGGGGAAGGGAAGCAGGTCCAGTGGCCATGGGTGGGTCGCCTCTCCTGTCCTCTCTGAGCCTCAGTTGCTCCATCTGTCAAATGGGCACAGTCACCTCAGCCAGCTCACCCTCTAGGTTGCATGACAGGTTCTTGTTTTTAAGTTATAATTATTTGCAAGGGTTTTAAGCTTTTATGCAGCCAAATCTGACAGGTGTTTAAAAATTTTTTTGGCTGTTACCTTCAGTGTTATGGTTAGGAAGGTATTTGCTCTAGGTACTGTATTTTCTCCAGTTTCCTTTATGGTGTACTTTTTACTTTTGAATTCTTCATTCTCACTGCAATTTCTTTTGTATACAGTGATCCTCCCCAAATGATTAGCCAGTTGTATCATTTTTCATTTATTTACCTCTTTAAAAGCTCCTTTTATCATATGTTAAATTCATATATATGTGTGTGTGTATGTGTGAGTGTCTGTTTCTGAGGTTTCCATTCTTGTCGACTGGCCTGTTTTTATATGAGTACCAGACTGTTTTACTAATTGTAGATTTAATTGTTTTTAATACTTGGCAGTAAAGTCGTGCCCCATTATTCTTCCTATTGAACAGTTTCCCTGTGATTTGTATTTCTTTTTCCAGACTACCTTCTGTTTCTTTCCTCAACTTTATTTTTATTTAAACATCTATTTAATGGATTTCTACTAAATTATAGAATAACCATCAAATTATGTATTAGATATTCAAATGTATATATACTTATCTATAATAAACGTACATTTAATTACATATTCACTGCAAAAAATGAGGCCAGTATGCAAATGTCACCCTGCCTCCTCCACATACAATGGCTCGGCTATGACCAATGCTCAGGAGTTGCTGTGTATCTTTTCCATTTGTAAAATGTATGTGCAAGTGTACTTAGCTACACAGATACACTGACTTGCTTGTTTTTCTTTTACAAAAATGAGATCATTCTCTGTGACTTCTCTGCAATCTGCTCTTCTCCTTAGCACAATGCTGTGGGCATTTTTCCATGACTGCCGCATAGTGTAATACCTGCCTCCTTAGGTTGTTGTGAAGATGACATTAGATGACTTAAGTAAGGCACATAGGACAGGGATTGGCACAGAGTAAGTGCTAAGAAATACTAGGTGTTAATATTATTACATAATTAATATTCAATGATAGGCCAGGTGTGGTGGCTCACGGCTATAAATCCCGGTACTATCAGAGGCCAAATTGGGAGAATTGCTTGAGGCCAGGAGTTTGAAATTAGCCTGGGCAACATAGCAAGACACTGTTTCTATAAAAACATTTAAAAATTAGCCAGGCATGGTGGTGTGCAACTGTAGTCCCAGCTGCTTTGGAGGCTGAGGTGGGAGGATCACCTGAGCCCAGGAGTTTGAGGTTCCATTGAGCTGTGATTGTGCCACTGCACTATAGCCTGGGTGACAGAGCAAGAGCCTGTCTCAAAAAAAAAAAAAATCAATAATACTCTTGAGGACTGAGTGAATGTCAGTGATTGTATTATACATATGGGTAATGAAATAATATGGAGTTGTTCAAAAGACTGAGAGGATTTGTCTGTGATCTGCAAGAGTCTTCATTTAGTGGAAAATCAGGTTGCAGAATGGTAGAGATGGTGTGAGCCAGTTGATCTAAAAATGATTAGTTGCTATGCACAGATACATACATATGAAGTGCATATAGGATATTGTAATTATATGGGGAATTTCTGGAAGGATATCGTAAAATACTGTTAATGGTGGTTACCTGTAGGAAGTAGACCTGAGGGGTGAGGGCCAGGGCTTGGCAGATTCTTACTGCTCAATTTCCTCCTATTCTGCAGAGTTCTTTTCACCATAGACAACTCACAGTCACAGTACTCGCTTCTAGGGGTTAGGATAACAACTTTTTTGTTTTGCTTTGTTTTCTCTAAATTTTTGTTTTTTTGCCATGGACATATGTTACTGTTTTTATTGTGGTAAAATATACATAACATTTGCCATCTTTAAGTGCATTGTCAGGGACATTAAGCACGTTCACACTGTCATGCAGCCATCACCACCACCCAGCTCCAGAACTTTTCTCATCTTCCCAAACCGAAACTCCAGACCCGTTGCACACTGACTCCCCTTACCTCGTCTCCCCAGCCCCTGGCACCCACCGCGCTACTTTCTGTCTCTAGGACTGTGACCACTCCAAGAGCCTCATATAAGTGGAATCACTCAGTATAAGTCCTTTTGTGACAGGCTTATTTCACTTAGCATCGTGTCCTCAGATTTCACCCAGCTGTAGCGTGTGTCGGCATTTCATTCCCCCGGAAAGCTGCGTGACGTCCCCCTGCATGTGTGTATCCCATTTTGCTTATCCGTTCATTTGATGGCATTTGGGTTGCTTTTGTCTATTGTGAATTTGCTGCTGTGAGACCCTGCTTTCAGTTCTTTGGCTACATGGCCAAATGTGTTACTTTTTAGAAAAAATAATAAGCTATAAAAATATTCTTTGGGATTTTCCTAGAAATGAGAATTTCTATCATGTGAGGACTAATTTGGGGAGAACTGCTGACATCACAGGGTGAGCACCCACCCCCCGCCCTGGGAGTCTGGGCTGGCGTTGCCCACTGCGTGTTACCCACTGCGGGTCTTTTAGTTTTGGGGTATGGGGGAATGGCAGATTGCTCTCTGACCTGTGCTCACCTGTCCTTGCCGACAGCCCAACACCGAGGGCATCTGGGAGCTGGTGACCGGAGGGCTGTTCTACTGCCTGGGCATGGTGTTCTTCAAGAGTGACGGCAGGATCCCCTTTGCTCACGCCATCTGGCACCTCTTTGTGGCATTCGGTGCTGGTACCCACTACTATGCCATCTGGAGGTACCTCTATCTACCCAGCACCCTGCAGACCAAGGTGTCCAAATGAAGTGGCCCAGACTGCACGGGTCATTTGGGCTCTTGGAGCAGAGCCTCACGGGAAGCGTTTCTGCGAACTTCACCCAGCGCACGGTGCCGAGCCTGTCTGCCCTTTCGTGGGAGAGTTCTTGATGGGTCTGAGGTTGCTTCTGGTGACAGCCAGGCCATCTCTAGAGTCCCCAGGGAGAGTGAAAGCAGTTAGTCATTTTTACAGAGGAGAGATTAACCCTATAATGTGTATCCAATTTAGACAAGTGTTTCCTAATACAAGCAGCATTAACATCTTCAGGAAGGGAAGCAGACGCTGTCCTGGCAGATTGGGGACAGACAGGCTAATATGTGCTTCTTGGGGTCCTGAGGAACCTGGCATGAGGCTGGTGGGTCGTTTATCCCTGGCTGGCCAGGGCCTCCCTCTGTGCTACCAAAGTCCTGGCCGGGGAATTGTCCCCTCCCTGTTCAGGGAACGTCGCCCAGCTTGTAGATGGGGTGTGTTGAGTAGCCCTGACCGTGGCAGACACACTCATCAACCTCAGCCGTGCGTGGTGTCAGCCTTCTTTCCAGCGCAGTGATCGGGGCAGCCGCTACCTGGGGACGTGGCACTTGGGATGGATCCTCTTTGTCCTGCCTGGTGTGCTTGGAAATGGGTTGGTGGCCAGAGTGGTTTCCATACGGGGGCCGCACCCATCTCTTTCTCTCCTGCTCCCATCTCCCTTCTGGGGAAGCTCCTGGCGTGGGCAGTTAGGGGCAGCGGGGGGAGGCTGAGCCTCACGCCCGAGCAGCCCCCAGTGTCCTGTTCCAAGTGGTTGGTCTCAGTTCAGAGGGGCATGAGCAGCTGGGGTGAGGATGCTGTTACTTGGTTATTTCTTCTCATCCCCCCCAAAATCCAGAGGAATTTCAAGAGCTGCTCCTTCATAAGAGGGGCAGGCAGATCCTGGGAACGTGCTCACTTGCACCACGTTTAGGGTTTGCGATGCCAGTGTCTAGATTCTCTCTTGGTGCCCGTCAGTGGCCCTTAGAGGCCGCTGAGATCTGAGATGTGTCCGAGGGAAGGCATGTGGATCCGGGCAGGGTGTCTGGGACACCTTCAACCTCTGAAGTGCCCAGGGGCCCAGCAATGAGGCTTCCGGGGGCCTGTCCGCACGGCCCCCTTTGGAGCTGGGCCAGCCTCTTGGTAAAATGCCCCCTGGACATTTACTGGGAAGGCCAGTGGCAGGCCCAGCTCCGGAGTCTGAACTGGAATCTCAGAATCTCTCTGGGGGAAGAGTCTGTCTCAGGTCAGGAGGTCCTTACTCTACGACTCACAGCCAGAGTGGGTGGATGAGGGGGACAGAGAAAGGGTGCCTTATGCTTAGCTCTAGCACATTCCAGGAGATTCCAGGGCTCTGGCATCTGGAATCCTATGTGTCCAAGCCAGTATTAAATCATCTTGACACATTCCTCGGACAGACAGCTTGTGAGCTGGGAGACGCTGAGGGGTAAGTTTTGTCCTCCTGCCTGTGTGAGTGTGTGTGTGCATGTGTGCGTGCGTGTGTCTCTGCACAGGGCCTCCTGCCCCCTGGGGACTGTCTTCTGTAGGCCTGGCCTGTGGAGCTCAGCAAGTGTTTCCTGCTGGCTGGGGTCAGGGTTGGAGGTCAGAGGTTTGCAGGGCAGAGGCTCGCCCCGACTACGGACAGGGACACTGACACTTGACCTCTAGCGGCGCCTGTGGCTGGGTCGGGGAAGCCACGTGGGTTCTGGTTTGCCATTTAGGAACCTCCCAAAGCATGGCACTGTGCCAGGCCGAGATGCTGTTGGGGGCCAGTGACTCGGGGCTTCTTTTGTGGTCCCATGTCCTCACTGAGCTTCTTGGTCTGACTCCTGCTCCTCCCGTGCCCCTCCTTCTAGGCATTTGGTCTTATGTTTCCCAAGACGGCCTGCCCCTTGTGCCCCTGCACCTTATGAGGTGTGGGTCCCTCTGGTGGGACCTCTGTTTACCCATAATCCACTCAACACACTCCTCCTTATCCTTCAGAGCCCAGCTCAGTCATCAACATCAGGGAACTTCTGGCCTTTGTCTGACCTCGGAGCTCCCCTCTGCTCCCCGTCACGCCCTGTGCTCAGAGCCCTGTCCTTCCCCACACAGGTGCAGATCCTGGAGGGAGGGACTGTGGGGTCAAATCAGCATCTTGGGGTCAAATCAGCATCCCCCGTTTGTGGGAGCTTGGGCCAGTTCCCTAACCTCTCTGAGCCTCAGTGTTCTCAGCTGTAAGATGGGTATAGCAAAGCGGCATTTTGCAGGGCTGCCTGAAGATGCGGCAGGATAACAGATGCACAACACCCAGCCAGTTCTGTCAGTAGTGGGCTTGGAAGATGGGCTGGTAACAGAAGATAATAATGAAGATGACCCTTTTCCTGGGGTGTGGCCAAAGGAATGAATCACTAATGGTGGAGTTTCCAACTGTGGACACATTGGTGAGGACGCTGGAGGGCATTCTAGAGGGCCTTGGGTGCACCTCCGTCCCTAGCTCCAACTCAGGACATGCTTCCCATAATCACTTTCTCTTCCTCAGCATTATTCTGGAAGTTTTCTAGGATTCCATTTCACTGGAGCCCAGACCTGTATCTCTTCCAAACACATCACAACTAGTGCAGGAAAGGAAAACAAGTTCCCTATGCCAGTCCCTGCGGTGGTGAGGCTCTGTCCCGGGAGCATTCTAGGCCACACACTGGACGTGTGAAGCAGAGAGGGCACACACCGGACAGTCAGGGGCCAGCACTCTCTTCCTGCCCATCCCTGGGGCCATCGCGTCCCAGGTGACCCAGCGGAGCTGCTGTCATGCCCTGAGTTGCTGGGAGAGCAGCGGGCAGCAGACTGACCTGTTTGACGTTCTGAGCTTTTTGGTGACTGCTCCTGAGCTCGAGGGGCACTGCGAGGGCCAGGTGAGCGAAGGCAGAAGGAGGTGGGGTGGGGGTCCCACCTGGTGGGCTCTTGGGAAGGCATCTGTGAGAGTGGCCCTGGCAACGCACCTCCCACCCACGCCTGGAAGGACTTCCTGTAAGGCCCAGAGCAGAGCTCGGCTAGAGCTGTCCCCAGGGCTGCAGCCTCTTGGCCGGGGAAGGATTTGAGTCCGGATCACAGGCAGAGCGGCCCTTCCCGCTTGGCTGCAAGCTGGAGGTGTGGCCTGAGCAGGCCAGAACCTTCTCCTCCCCATCTGCACCTGGCTCAGCTGGGGGAGAACCCTCCGAAAGCCCTGGGGCGGGAGGGATGAAGATGGGCATGGCAAGTGAGCCTCAAGATATAAAGCCACCTCAGTCATGGGTGGGTGCTCGCACAGTGGGTGACTCAGACAGCCCTGAAAGCTTGCAGAGCAAGGTTGCAGTCCCAGGTTTTCAGCTCACTAACCTCTCTTTTCCGTGCCAGTCTGCAACAGCTGCAGAGAGTTCTCCCCCAGCTCTGCCTGAGTCCCTGCTGTCAGGCTCAGGAAGTGGGGGTGGGGACAGCTCGGGCTGTGCAGGGAGCTAGATAGAGCAGATACGGAGGGCAGATAGAGCTCGGAGGGCCAGGAGACGGGCACCTGTCAACTCTGCCACTGTGCACTGTGTACTCAGATGCTGAAATGCGGGCTCTTGGAACAGCCTGGGGGGTCCGGAAAGAGCCAGTGAAAACCCAGCAGCCACGTCCACTGGGTGTGCTGATGTCACAGGGCTGGTGATCCGCAGGTGCAAAGACGGGGAGCAGGAAGCTGGGGAGGCAGAGGCTGACCCATCGGGAGCTCCTCTGGGTGGCAGGCTCTCTGTGCTGTGGTTTTACAGATGCTCTCTCTGCTGACTGACACACACTGGCCCCGTGGGGTAAGGGTCATTAGCTGACCTTACAAAGCAGGCAGCCAGGGCACAGAGAGGTTTGTGACTTTCCCAACGTCACCTGGTTTCCAACCAGCAGAGCCAAGCTTGGAAGCCAGGACTGTCTAACGTCCAAGTGTCCTGCCCTTGGCCAGACCTTGCTGCTTCGGAGGAAACCCTCTCTCCCTCAGGGAGGAAAGTGGAGCTTAAAAAAAAATTGAATGATAATTTTTCAAAACCTCTGGTGTGCAGCCTTGCCAATTGCCATGGTGTGACTACTGCCACTGTGGCTTGTTTGGGGCAGCCACGTGGCATTGCTGAGGATGGACTATGTATGACCAGGTCTGGCGTCCCGCTGCCCAGCAACTCCCAGTGTGCCCACCCTCTGAGGAAGGTCACCATGGGTATGGAATCAGCCAGAACAACTTAGCCCCAAAGGGTCCCTGTGTAAGGTGGGTCTGTCACTGAAACGCTGGGGAACTTCATTCTAGGAGTTTGGATTTGGGAGCCAGTCAGACCTGACCCGAAGCTAGCGCTGCACGGAGCAGCTGGCAAGACCCTTGGGCAGGACCTTTGTCCTCTCTGTGCCTCAGTTTCCACATTTGTAAAATGGAGATTGTAATCAGCAAGTGCTACGTATCAGAGTTTGGGAGGTTTGTTTTTGTTTTACAAAAATCTTTTACTGATTTGGAGACCAAGACTCAGAGAGGCTGAGCAGCTTGTCTGAGGGCACACAGCTAGGGAGTGGCCGACACATGCTCTCTCCCCTTCCAAACACGGGCACCCCCACTTCAGGGCTCCCAGCCCACGAGAAGCAGCAGCTGTGATGACAGTGGGCGCCGCCTTCTGCCTCTGCCTGTGCACATGCTTGCAAAGGTTACAACAAGGGCGTGAGGCCCCACCTGGCAGCTCCGTGCTCAGGCCAGTGTTGGGCAGGGCCGTCCCCATGGGCAGAGGCTCCCACCCAGATGGTCATTCGGGGGAATGTGTAGCCATGTGGCTCCGAGTGGCAGGGTGGCTGGGAGGAGGGGTGTGGGCAGGATGCTCGTGCCCACTGCAGGGGGTGGGATGTCCCTTTGAGAGTCCACATCAGTGCAGTAGGTTTGATGTGCAGGGCCAGAGAGCCAGAGTTATGTGGACCTTGAACCTGAGCAGGAAGGGATGGGACAGCAGGCGTGAGACTGGCGTAGGGTTGAGAGCAGGCATGTGGCACGCCTGGGCCGTGGAGCTGGGGGAGCTGGGGCTGGGCCCGGGTCTGCCCGATGCCCAGTCCAGTGCTCTTTCCCACACCCACCTCTCTCTCCACTTTCCGGGCACTGCTCTCTTGTCCTGTGTGTAAGGCGACAAGAGGTGCAGCCTGGTACCTCCTCCTGCAGCCTGGCCATGTGGGGCACGGCTCTTCAGAGAGCCCACTCACATGTCCTCCTGGTCTGGGAGAGAGGAAATGCCAGCCCTCCCTGGGACCTTGCGTCCCACATGCAGATGTGCCACCTCTGAGCATGCAGCTGCCTGTGCATGTGGCTCCTTTGTTCCAATTTCCATATGTCCAAGCTTGGGTGGCACAGAATCAGGAGGCTTTGGGGCACCCTGGAAAAGGCTCGAGGTAGGAACCAGGAGGTGTGGGCCCTGCTTCCCATGTTGCTGTGTGACTTGGGCAGATGACTTCTCCTTTCTGGGATTTCATCTGATCAGCTGTAAAATGAGCCTGCGATCCGTCTGCGAGCTGTGCACGTCAGGAATAAGCACAAAGCCCATCGGGTGGGCATGACAGACCCTCCCCAGCTTGAGGAGAGATCCCTGGGGAGAGCAGGGGGTTGCTTCTCCCAGGAGCAATGCTGAGACCCTCTTCCATGTACAGACACCTCTAATTGACACAACACAGGGAAGATAAAGAATCCCACATGGCAGAGAAACAGCAGGCATCTGGAGGGGTTCCGTCTGACATAGCAGCTGTCAGCTGCAGGTGGCTACTTAACTGGAAGTCAATTAAAATTAAATCACAATCGTCCCACTAGCCACATTGTATGTGCTCAACAGCCAGGTGTGGCCGGGCTACCAGCCGTTTTGGACAGCACGGATAAGGGCACAGTTCCATCAGTGCAGAACGTTCTGTGGTGCAGCACTGGTGGTTCAGTGATCTCGAGACCCCTCTTAGAAATTATTGAGGACACCAAAGAACTTTTATGTAGGTGGCCTGTGTTAACATTCATCATATTTGAAATTAAAACTGAGAATATTTGAGAACAGCTATTCATTCATGTAAAGATAACAGATCCACTGCATGTTAGCTTAAGAAACATATTCTTCTATGAAAAATAACTATATTTTTCCATACAAAAAAAGCACAGGGAAAAGAGTGGATTGCTTTGCATTTTTGCAATGTCTGGCCCAGTAGAAGGCTGGACTCTCCTGTCTGCTTTTGCGTCCGGTTGGGACGTCACGTGTCAGGGACTCTCTGCAAACCTTTGCTGTGCATGCGTGAAGGAATAAGAGGGAAAAAGACAAATAATGTCGTAGTGTTGTTATGAAAATGGTTAGGCTTCTTGAACCCCCAAAAGGGTGTTGGGGATCCCTGGAGCACCCGGGCTAAACACTTGAGAACCAACAATTTGGAGTTTTCCCCTTCATTTTATAGCTGGTTTTACTTTATCAGTGGCAGTTTTCATAGATGGAGACCACCCCCTTTTAGCCATGTTAGCCTGTGTTAGACAGATCTGGAGACAGGCAGGACACGGGGACGGAGGGGTATGAGCAATAGGGCGGAGACTCTGGCTGTTTGAGGACAGGTGCCATGGGGACAGGACCCGGTCTCAGCAGATGCTCAGCACATACTTGTGGACCAAGCAGAGGAGGGTGAGCTTGGCCTTGGCCACTCGGCCTCCCCACCTCCTCCTCCTCTTCTGAGGTTGGGAAGGCTTGCCCAGGGAGCCTCGTGTAAGCATCAGGGCCCCTTTGCATCAGGGTTGGAGAGAGGCGAATTCACAACTGTGGTCTGCATGAACACTTCCCTGGCCTTTACTCTTGGTGGCCTTGCATGTCAGAAGACAAATAACAGAGCCAGTGGGAGGCTCACGGGTTAGTTCTCCCAGCTCAAGTTTGCAGTGAGCTGTGACTCTGCCCTGGGTGGGTCTGCAGTGTGCAAACACCGTGGCCAACCATGTGCCAGCCCTGGGGTTACAGGACGAATTAGGCAGGACCCTGGGGTGAAATCGACATGGTATGAGCTGATTCTGTGCAGTGGTGAGTGTCAAGGGGGCCTCTGATGAGGGACCTGGAGACGCATCAAGGTTCCTCTGCAGGTTGAGGGAGCATTTATCCAAGTGACTAGCAAGGAGGTTGGTTTTCTTAAATATTAATATAAATATTTTTTCATTAAAATAATATATGCTTATTACAGAAATTTCACGACATACAAGCAAGGTAGAGGATGCTACCAAAGTCTCCCCACCCCACATAGCCACTCAGCCTTTCAGTGGCTTTTTTTTTTTTTTTTGAGACAAAGTCTCGCTTTGTTGCCCAGGCTAGAGTGAGTGCCATGGCGTCAGCCTAGCTCACAGCAACCTCAAACTCCTGGGCTCAAGTGATCCTCCTGCCTCAGCCTCCCGTGTAGCTGGGACTACAGGCATGCGCCACCATGCCTGGCTAATTTTTTCTATAAATATTAGTTGGCCAATTAATTTCTTTCTATTTATAGTAGAGACGGAGTCTCACTCTTGCTCAGGCTGGTTTCAAACTCCTGACCTTGAGCAATTTGCCTGCCTCGGCCTCCCAGAGTGCTAGGATTACAGGCGTGAGCCACTGTGCCCGGCCTCAGTGGCTTTGTTTTTGTATTTTCCCCCACTCAACGTGTCGTGTTTTCCTGTGACGTTTTCCTCTCTTGCCATAGACACTTTTATAACCTATTTTTAGAATATTTTTTCATGTTATTTCAAGCCCTTTGCAAACATTACTTTGGAAGTCTACATGTAGTGGATGTGACACAGTTTATTACAATGCAGGAGATACACATCTGTGTGTAGACACAGTCTATGATGAGGAGCATTTGACATAAAGCCCCCGCCCCCATATTCAGGGCATTTTTCTTAGGCCGTGTTAAATTAGGTAAAACTTGCCTTGTGCTGTCTGTGCCACCCAGCCATGGCTGCCTGCTGTCACCAGACTGACTGTTACCCACTGCTGGCCACTGTGCCCATCCCTGGGGGCGCCTGGGCATCCAGGGACCGACCTACTGCCTGGGTGCTGCCAATGAGCTGGTTGATCTGGAAGATCTAGAACAGTCAATTGTGGTGTGAACAGCGAGACGTGGAGGGCAGAGGAGAGGTGGTGAGCTTGTTCCGTAGCTTATCAGGTCTGCGGCAGAAGAGGTGGTGTGGGGTCATGAAAGGGACACCACTGGAGGCAAAGCCACAATGGCCTTTTGTGATGAGGGGACCACATCCCGTCTAAAGCTGCTCTATTGCTGGTGGGAGATGAGGCGTCGTTGAGGATATCAGTTCTGTACATGCCATGGCTCCCTGGAGACTGTTAAATATTCAGCCTTTTTGCAAGTCATTAAACCACTGGTAGCATGAAATTGGCCAAGGCAGGAGTATTTACACCACAGCAATTGGCAAATGCCATAAATCAGAGCTTAACCTTTTGGAGAGCGGGTCAACCAGCATGCGGCCTCCTGCACCCCAGGCAGTTTGCCTTCTGCCATCGTCTTTATAACAGGTAAGACATGCAGATATGAACATGTACCCATTCACATCCCTCCTCTCATATATTTCTGCCCCAAACCCTGGCAAGGCAAAATGACTGTTTCCATGTTACGTGGGGAAACTGAGGCTGCTCAGAGAGGTTAAGTGGCTTGTCCAAGGTCATCCAGCTGGTGGGGCAGGGCCTGGAATCTGGCTCGTGGTCCTTGGGTGTCACATCCTTCCTCTTTCCACAACACGGGGTTGTTTTGCTCCCCGAGAGCTGAGATCTGGGGCAGCAGGCAAAGGCCATCTCCCTAAAGTCCTCCCAGCAGCCCTGTCTCCTGGCTGCTGGATTCCTGGTTCTGTCAGTTTTGCCTGAGCTTTGAAATGTCTGTGTCCTCAGACACTCATGTTTTCTGCTCCTGTCTCAGCCCAGGCCACCGCAGGGAACTGGTAAAGGCTGGAACTGTCTCTGGTAGGCAAGGACACTTTGTGCCCAGAGCCTCCCGTGGGGGCTGCAGCGCTTGGGCCCTGAGCTCTGGGGAAGCCTTGTGTTGTTGGCACTCGACTGGCCGGGGAGGAGGCTGTGGGCCTGTCCCGTAGCACTGGTGCCTGGCGAGGGCTCCTCTTCCTGGTTCATAGGTGACACCTCACTGTGTCCTCACATGGTGGAAGGAGCAAAAATGCTCCCTCAGGCCTCTTTTATAAGGGCGCTAATCCCATTCCCAAAGGCCGTATCTCTTAATACCATCACCTTGGGATTAGATTTTCAACACAGAATTTTGGGAAACATAAACACAGCACTGTCCAATTTTGTCCTATCCTGTCCTTCCCTACCCCCACCCTATCCTATGTTGTTTTATCAAGTTGCTGGTTGTAACCCACTAAATTGATTTTATGACCCACAAGTGGATTCAAATCCGAAGTTCTAGAATCTGTTCTCATTGGTATGTTCCTGAAAAGCCATGCTTCGTGCCTGTTTGCCATGATTGGCGGGGATTAGCATGGTGCCATGCTTTGGGAGCCTGGGTGCTGCACGGCTATATGGGGCCAGGGAAGAAGAAAGATATTAGGAGCTTCCAAGAATCTGGTTACTGGGAGCCCTGACGCCATTGAGACGAATACAGGACCCCATTTTATGGTCTCTTGTCCTGGCGGCAGCCTATGTTCTGGGGGGACCGCGGGGCTGGGTGGACGTAGAGACCTGGGCAGGCAGCACTCCTGAGTGTGGGCCAGCGTTCGCTCAGGCAGGGTTGGGAAGGCAGGAGGGAGAGATTCAATCCACTCCAGAAAGGAGTGGACCCGATTTCAGAAAGGCCATTCCGCCTCTGCAAGAAATGTCAAACTTTGGGCTGTGGCTTTCTGCCCAACGAACTGTCCGCCAGTCCTGTCTACACCGCCAGGTCCCCAGGAGCCGTTCCTCTCCTGCGCAGGTGCAGCCCTGCTGCTACTTAAGGCCTTTCTCGGGTGGGGGTGGGTGGGGGGGCAGGAGTTCTCTGATTGTCTTTCATACTCACTTTTATAGGCCTACAATGTCTACAATATTTGAGAACGGCATTTGTGGCATGACTTTTTAAAAACGTCCTGCTGGTATTGGACCCCTTCTGTGTTTGTGAAATTGCTATTTTGTATTAACACAGTATTTGATAAACATTTGTATTAAGAAGAATAATCCTTCTGGTGAATATTATTGTTTCCAGTGGAGTAGAACTTAAATAAAGAAAAATTCAAGATGCCTCACTCTTGCCGATATGTTTTTTTTTTAATAACACCATCAATTCTTATAAAAGTGATCTCTGTTCATTGTAGAAAATGGGATATTTAGAAAAGTATAAAATAAATTAGAAACCCTGTTTTAGCTATCTATTGCTGCATATAACCAATTATCCTAAAATAGTGGCTTAAAACAACAATAAACATCTTTGTCTCCAGTGGTTTCTGTGGGTCAGAAATACAGGGTCTGGCCTCAGCTGGAGGATGGGGAGGCTGAGACTGGACTCCTCTGGGGGCCTCTTCACTCTCGTCTGGTGGGTGATGCTGGTGGCTGGCTGGGGCCTTATCCATAACGTTGGCTAAACATCCTGTTATAAAATGCAGGTTTTATTATTACTCAGGTATGATGAGGCCCACAGATCAGGAGACAGTTGCCATCGACAACATAGTTTGTTACTCACAGATCCCAAGAGGAGGAGACATGTCACACTGGTCAGGGCCACATGGGAAGCACCAGGATCGGACAGGAGTTAGGAGGTGTGGGGGGCAGGAGGAAACATGGCAAGAGCCTTCATCATGGTTTCTGCAGAAAGGAGGGGGTGAGGCAGTGTGAGCAGGCTTAGGATTGGCTGGTTTGAATAATTTTAGCAGGCTCTGGGGTGCAGGGGCTGTCCTGAACTGTCTGATACCTGGCCCTGGGGTGATTCGAGGCAGGGGGGAATACTGGCCTGAAATATAAGAGCCCATTAGAGAAGGTGGGGAGGTGGGGTGGTTGGTTGGCATAGGAAAGGCACACTTTTCTTTTATTTTTCTTTCATTCATTTTCTATTTACTCCCTTTTAATTTCACTGCAGGAAAGGCCACTTAAAGGTCATTCCTTTACTCCCTCTGGGAGGTGGCTAGCCCTTCGAGGTACGGTCTCTCTAGGGTCAGAAAGGCCTCAGATGTCAAAACAGCCTTTTAATTTTATCAGAATAAAAAGATGTGCTTAATGAACACCCACATGTGACTTCCTCATATGGCCTGGGCTTCCTTACAACATGGTGGCTCGGTCCTAAGGCAGGTGTCTCAAGAGAAGGAGCCAGCCAGGCGGGAGACTATTGCCTCTTATGACCTGGCCTTGGAAGTCTCGCATCATCGTTTCTGCCCTATTCCGTTGACCTAGGCAGCTGAGAAGGTCCTCGCAAGTTCAAGAGGAGGCAATGTAGACTGTCCTCCCCAATACTGGATGGAGGTAAGTCCACTGTACAGTGTAATAAGAGCATGTATAATGGGATCTGTGTGTTTGGCGTGTCTGCCTTTGGAAATTGCAATCTGCTGCTGACTCTACTAACCACTGTTACACATCCTACTTACACATCTTTTATTTTATTTTAATTAATTTGCTGATTTATTTTTTCTTTTATTTTTATAGGTCACAAATAAAAAATTGTGTATATTTATTGTGCACAACATGATGTTTTGAAATATGTATATATTTCAGACTGGTTCAAGGAAGCTAATGAACATATGCATTGTCTCACATTATCTCACATTTTTAAAAGACTACACATCCTTAAAAAACACCTTTATTGAGATGTAATTCACATACCATTTGTTATCTATTAAAGTGTATAATTCAAGGGTCTTTAGTATATTCACAGATATGTGCAACCATCACAGTCAATTTCAGAACTTTTTATTACCCCAGAAAGACACCTATACCCCTTCAATGCCACACCTAGATACCCTTATCTCCCCCTCCACCCTAAGCAACCTCTAATCTGCTTTTTCTCTATGAATTTGCCTATTTTAGATATTTCCTTTGAGAGGAATCAGATAACATTGTCCTTTTGTGTCTGGCTTATTTCACTTACCATGACGTTCTCAAGATCCATCCATGTTGTAGTGTGTGTCAGTACCTTGTTACTGTTTATGGCCGAATAATATTCCATTGTGTTGATATACTACATTTTCGTTTTGTCCATTTGTCTGTTTGTCAATCGATGGACATATGGGTTGTGTCCACCTTTTGGGTATTATGAATAATGCTGCTGTAAACACTCTTGTACAGGTTTTTGTATAGCAATTTGTTTTCATTTATCTGGGGACCGTGTCTAGGAGAATGGCTGGATCATATGGGAACTCTATGTTTCAT